AATCAAACTAGTCCAGTACCTACATAATCAAACCAGTCCATTACCTCCACAATCAAACCAGTCCAGTACCTCCACAATCAAACCAGTACAGTACCTCCAAAATCAAACCAGTCCATTACCTCCACAATATAATAAGTCCAGTACTTCCACAATCAAACCAGTCCAGTACCTCCACAATCAAAGCAGTCAAGTACCTCCACAATCAAACCAGTCCATTACCTCCACAATCAAACTAGTCCAGTACCTACATAATCAAACCAGTCCATTACCTCCACAATCAAACTAGTCCAGTACCTCCACCATCACACCAGTCCAGTACCTCCATAATCAAACCAGCCCAGTACCTCCACAATCAATCCAGTCCATTACCTCCAAAATTTAATTAGTCCAGTACTTCCACAATCACACCAGTCCAGTACCTCAATATTCAAACTAGTCCAGTACCTCCACCATCACACCAGTCCAGTACCTCAATATTCAAACTAGTCCAGTACCTCCACGATCAAACTAGTTTATTACATCCACAATCAAACCAGTGCCGTACCTCTACAATCAAACCAGTCCAGAACCTCCACAATCAAAGCAGTCCAGTACCTACACAATCAAACAAGTCCATTGCCCCCACAATCAAACCAGCCCATTACCTCCAAAATAAAACCAGTCCAGTACCTCCACAAGCAAACAAGTCCATTACCCCCACAATCAAACCAGCCCAGCCAGTACCTCCACTATTTAACTAGTCCATTACCTCCAAAATTTAATTAGTCCAGTTCACCCACAATCAAACTAGGCCATTACATCCACAATCAAAGCAGTCAAGTCCCTCCACAATCAAAGCAGTCCATTCCCTCCACAATCAAAGCAATCCATTACCTCCACAATCTAACCAGTCCATTACCTCCAAAATTTAATTAGTCAAGTACCTCCACAATCAATCCAGTCCATTACCTCCAAAATTTAATTAGTCAAGTACCTCCACACTCAAACCAGTCGAGTAACTCCACAATCAAACTAGTTAATTACCTCCACAATCAAAGTACCTCCACAATCAATCCAGTCCATTACCTCCAAAATCAACCCAGCCCAGTCCCGCCACAATCGAACCAGTCCAGTACCTACAAAGTCAAACCAGTTCATTGCCTCCACAATCAAACTAATCCAGTACCTCCACAATTGAACCAGTCCAGTACCTACACAATCAAACCAGTCAAATCCCTCCACAATCAAACCAGTCGAGTACCTCCTCAATCAACCTAGTCCATTACCTCCAAAATTTAATTAGTCCAGTACTTCCACAATCACACCAGTCCAGTACCTCAATATTCAAACTAGTCCAGTACCTCCTCAATCAACCTAGTCCATTACCTCCACCATTTAATTAGTCCAGTACTTCCACAATCACACCAGTCCAGTACCTCAATAATCAAACTAGGCCAGTACCGACATAAGCAAACCAGCCCATTACCTCCACAATTCAATTAGTCCAGTACCTCAACAATCAAACTAGTCCATTACCTCCCCAATTTAATTAGTCCAGTACTTCCACAATCAAACCAGTGCCGTACCTCTACAATCAAACTAGTCCATTACCTCCAAAATCAACCCAGCCCAGTCCCCCCACATTAAAGCCAGTCCATTACCTCCAAAATCAACCCAGCCCAGTCCCCCCACATTAAAGCCAGTCCATTACCTCCAAAATCAACCCAGCCCAGTCCCGCCACAATCAAACCAGTCGAGTCCCTCCTCAATCAAACCAGTCCAGGACTTCCACAATCAAATAAGTCAAGTGCCTACATAATCAAACTATTCCAGTACCTCCACAATAAAACTAGTTTATTACCTACACAATCAAACTAGTCTATTACCTCCACAATCACACCAGTCCAGTACCTCAACCATCAAAGCAGTCAAGTACCTCCACAATCAATCCAGTCCATTACCTCCAAAATCAAACTAGTCCAGTACCTCCATAATCAAACCAGCCCATTACCTCCAAAATAAAACCAGTCCAGTACCTCAATAATCAAACTAGGCCAGTACCGACATAAGCAAACCAGCCCATTACCTCCACAATTCAATTAGTCCAGTACCTCCACGATCAAAGTAGTTCATTGCCTCCACAACCAAACCAGTCCATTACCACCACAATATAATAAGTCCAGTTCTTCCACAATCAAACCAGTACAGTACCCCCACAATCAAACCAGTCGAGTACCTCCTCAATCAACCTAGTCCATTACCTCCAAAATCAACCCAGCCCAGTCCCGCCACAATCAAACCAGTCGAGTCCCTCCTCAATCAAACCAGTCCAGAACCTACATAATCAAACCAGCCCATTTCCTCCACAATAAATCCAGTCCAGTACATCCATAATCAAACTAGCCCAGTATCTCAAAAAGCAAACTAACCCAGTACCTCCACAATCCAACCCGTCCAGTACCTCCACAACCAAACCAGTCTAGTACCTCCACAATCAAATCAGTACAGTACCTCCACAGTCAAACCACTCCATTACCTCCACAATTTAATCAGTCCAGTACCTCCACAAGCAAACAAGTCCATTACCCCCACAATCAAACCAGTCGAGTACCTCCTCAATCAACCTAGTCCATTACCTCCAAAATCAACCCAGCCCAGTCCCCCCACATTAAAGCCAGTCCATTACCTCCAAAATCAACCCAGCCCAGTCCCGCCACAATCAAACCAGTCAATTACCTCCACAATCAAACCAGTCCAGGACTTCCACAATCAAATAAGTCAAGTGCCTACATAATCAAACTATTCCAGTACCTCCACAATCAAACCAGTGCCGTACCTCTACAATCAAACTAGTCCATTACCTCCACAATCAAACTAGCCCAGTACCTCCACAATCAAACTAGTCCAGTACCTCCACAAGCAAACAAGTCCATTACCTCCACAATGAAACCAGTCCAGTACCTCCACAATCAAACCAATCCAGTACATCCACAATCAAACTAGCCAAGTACCTCCACAATCAAACTTACCCAGTACCTCCACAATCAAACCAGTCGAGTACCTCCTCAATCAAACTAGTCCATTACCTCCACAATCAAACTAGTCCAGTACCTCCACAATCAAACCAGTCTAGTACATCCACAATCAAACCAGTACAGTACCTCCACAATCAAACTAACCCAGTACCTCCACAATCAAACCAGTACAGTACCTCCAAAATCAAACTAGTCCAGTACCTCCACAATCAAACCAGTCCAGTACCTCCACAATCAAACTAGTCCAGTACCTCCACAATCAAACCAGTCCAGTACCTCCATAATCAAACAAGTCCAGTACCTCCACAATCAAACTAGTCCAGTACTTCCACAATCAAACCAGTCCAGTACCTCCACAATGAAACTAGTCCAGTACCTCTACAATCAAACCAGTCCAGTACCTCCACAATCAAACTAGTCCAGTACCTCCACAATCAAACCAGTCCAGTACCTCCACAATCAAACTAGTCCAGTACCTCCACAATCAAACCAGTCCAGTACCTCCACAATTAAACCAGTCCAGTACCTCCACAATGAAACTAGTCCAGTACCGCCACAATCAAACCAGTCCAGTAACTCCACAATCAAACTAGTCCAGTACCTCCACAATCAAACCAGTCCAGTACTTCCACAATCAAACTAGTCCAGTACCTCCACAATCAAACCAGTCCAGTACCTCCACAATCAAACCAGTCCAGTACCTCCACAATCAAACCAGTGCATTACCTCTACAATCAAATTAGTTCATTACCTCCATAAACTAATTTAAATATCGATGCTTTGGGGATTTTGTTTAACATAAAAGCTACCTAAAGGTGCGGAAATCAGTTTTGCTTGATCAATGCCTAATATTACGTTACAGAGCAGCCCAGGTATTACGTTTCACCTCATGTTATGACACCTTCATATTGAAATGGAATATGCTCGCATTATTTTATTGATTAGTTTAACGATAAAACCTGAAAACGTATATAAAGGTCTGTTAGAAGATACATTTATATGTTGTCGACGTACAGGTACACCAATTAAAACATTACCACTGCCACGTACATATATAGAAATCCAGTATACCACTGCAGCTAGACTGGCCATCAGCCCCTAAGTTTTTATGAAGAATTTCTCAGCAGCATTTTACTACTAGCTTATCTCCCCCTAGTTTAGAACTTAGAATCAGACATCCAAGTGATCAAAATTATAAGAGTTATTTTCCTTTCTTGATTATTTAATATTCTAGAGACGGTGGCCAGTCTACACTGCCACGTACATATATAGAAATCCAGTATACCACTGCCACGTACATAATATAGTAATTCAGTATACCCAGTATACCTTTCAGGTTTTACAATAGAAATGATACCTTTCTTTGTCAAATGTAACTTGACAACCATTCCTATTTTTTTTAAATCTCGCCAGCCAAGACGTCGTACATCAGACACCTGGTTTGGAGCGGGTTTACGTCGTCAGAATTACAATAAATACAGGTGTCACCTTTCTCAGGTAGATTTACCCAACGCCTGGTCAAGGTCTGAGTAAGTTGTTGTAATCAGCAAAGTGAAATGTAAGCTAAGTCATATGATATTTTGAAATGGTATTACTGGAGGCTTTCATTGATCTCTGGGTTTTAGGATAACAGACATGGACAAGTTACTTAGCTCTGTGGCTTTTCCTCGTGACTTGATAACCAACTAATCTAGTGGTTAGTAACGGTTTACCGTAAGATGCCGGTAGTTAGTTATAACAGGTCTACAAACTTTCCATTGTGTACTACAAAACATTCAAAATAACAATCAATGTCAATCCTTCATACATTTCTGTAATTCGCATAATTCACATATTCAATACTGGTAGGAGAAAACTGAATGATCATCCAGGTTTATGGTTAATGACGTATTTTTAAAGGACTTAAGTCCGCGGAAAGATTATTGTAAACAACCGATTTACGAATCACTGTGCGCGAACGAGAAATACTAGCATTATGGAGTAATGGTGATAAATGTCCAACAAATGTTAGAGAACGTATTATAATAAAAACTAAAAAAAGTGATATAATGTTACACAATCAGCAAACAAAAATAATTCCACATCCTGAACATCAGTGTATTAGATTCTATTTCGCTATGATAATATGCGATGGAGTGTTGGGGTATCTTGCAGTCTTCCGAATTGAGTTTTCATTATCAGAATGGATTGCTTAATTAAGAGGGCAACACCTGTACGATATATAGTTAAGAGTTTTGTATCGTGGTTCTCTGAGCATGGCTTGTGACTCTGAGCATGGCTTGTGACTCTGAGCATGGCTTGTGACTGCTCCTTGTTCGGAGGGTTTTGAATTTGAGCAAAAGGTTTGAAAAACGTTCCAGATTGTGTTACATTGTACAAATTACAAGAGGAAATATTTCTTTAACAAACGGTTGGCCACTTAGAGGAGTTCGGACCATGTCCATGTCTTTGACCACATCAACAACACAGTCACACTTCGGACGCAGGTAAGTGGAGGTAGGGAGCGATACATCAACAATACAATCACACTTCGGACGCAGGTCAGTGGAGGTAGGGAGCGATACGTCAATAATGACAGTAGCACTTTCAGGCATATGTGGAGTATATGGACAATACCATATGGACCTTAACTTCAATGCCGATATGAATAATGCAGAAGGATGATTCGGTCGACGTGTCTAAATAACGAAGTTGGCACAAACCTTTTACGGAAAATATATACATCATAATATACAGTATGTAGGTGAGTTAAAGTGACTTGTGTTATTTCATCTGACCATCTTTTATCACACTGACACTGATAAGTTAGGGTACTTAACGGCTCTGAAAACAGTGGGGCATCCGGACAGGACGATCACGTGTCCAATACCCACCAATCACATGGATGACCTGGGACCTATCGATCACGACCCAACTGGACGTTACCGCAGGTATACAGACCTACCGGCGCGTGTGTTGACGTGTTCGCTACCAAACAGTACATGCTTTTTTTAAACGTGACGGTTAATTTTGGATTTGAGTTTCCAATTTCCCCAAAATGATTCTTTTATTTAATGTCTAGCGACAGAGGCCATCAGTTGAATGCCAGTGACACATAAATGGTACCACTTTGTTAAATTCTCTGTGAAGCTTTTATGATCGAAGGCTACAGTTTCGACAAAATATGTTTCAAACCAACAAATAAAGCGTATCTAATACGTCCCTGAAACAATACGAGATTGCTTCTTATGGCATTTCACACGGAAAAGATGCAACCTCATACAGACAGCTCACGGCACTTTAAAATCATTGTTAGGCTTTTCTTCACCGCGAACATTCCGTTTAATTAGAGTTAATCATGTAAGTTACATATTGAACCATGTTGTGAAATTGACACGCATTATGTTAATACTAATATCCCAGACCAACGCGGGACCACGAAATACTTTTATCTGAGAGCGTCGACATCGCGTGACAAGGCAGGGTTAACTACACGACAAGAACACCAATCATATGTTACAGTGATTCCAGGGTTTCCCAACCTTTTCAATCGCCTGAATATTCCGTGTCTCCTACATTTGTAAGACACCTAGACATCAAATTACGCATGTTCATATTTCTGTATTGTCCCTTGAGATTAGCTATCCTGACCCCACGGGATTACCTTGCCTGACCCCGTCACAGACGATGCCATCTCTTCCCGTGGGGGTACAAGGTTACACTGAAGGCACAGCGAGACATTCTCACGTGAAACGTAGACTTTATTACGACAATTAGTAAGATATCTCATACAAGCCTGATTAAGTATGCATGAGTACACACTGATGCCAAACGACATGTCTTTAGAACGTCTCTCTCAAAGGAACGATCGTTTTAACTGCGACGTGCACGCTTAGAGTAAAGTACGAATTGTGTGTACTGCTTCGGAGTCGGCATCAGACATCTTCTGATAGCTGTTCAACTCATCAAGGAAATTTCCAGTAATTCTAGTGATATTTGTCCTTTGAATTAATAATAAATGGGTAATCATAAGAAATGATCAGTCTGAATCCACTTCTATCCCTAATTATCTATCAAGCTATTTTAATGTTCTGATTAATACCGCTGTCGACTGACTGGGAACTGCCGATAACAAATCGTGGTCGCCTCTAGCCTCAACCAAGCAAACACATGACAGATGGAGCATTGATTTCGAAACGAAATGCAACCAAAGCAAAAACTCCAAAAACACTACACCAACCGTGCGATGTCCAGCCCGAGTACAATACGGAGCTCATCGCAACACATTGATATTTGGATTGGTAAGCAACACGTTGACATTTGGATTGGTAAGCAACACGTTGACATTTGGATTGGTAAGAAACACATTGACATTTGGATTGGTAAGGAACACATTGACATTTGGATTGGTATTATACACGTTGACATTTGGATTGGGAAGCAACACGTTGACATTTGGAGTGGTAAGCAACACGTTGACGTTTGGATTTGTAAGAAACCAGTTGACATTTGGATTGGTAAGAAACACATTGACATTTGGATTGGTATTATACACGTTGACATTTGGATTGGGAAGCAACACGTTGACATTTGGATTGGTAAGAAACACATTGACATTTGGATTGGTAAGGAACACATTGACATTTGGATTGGTACGCAACACATTGACATTTGGATTGGTAAACAACACGTTGACATTTGGATTGGCAAGCAACACATTGACATTTGGGTTGGTAAGCAACACGTTGACATTTTGATTGGTAAGCAACACGTTGATATTTGGATTGGTAAGCAACACATTGACATTTAGATTGGTAAGGAACACGTTGACATTTGGATTGGGAAGCAACACGTTGACATTTGGAGTGGTAAGCAACACATTGACATGTGGATTGGTAAGCAACACGTTGGCATTTGGATTGGTAAGCAACACATTGACATGTGGATTGGTAAGCAACACGTTGGCATTTGGATTGGTAAGCAACACCTTGACATTTGGATTGCTAAGCAACACATTGACATTTGGATTGGTAAGCAACACATTGACATTTAGATTGGTAAGCAACACGTTGACGTTTGGATTGGTAAGCAACACGTTGACATTTGGATTGGTAAGCAACACATTGACATTTGGATTGGTAAACAACACGTTGACATTTGGATTGGTAAGCAACACGTTGACATTTTGATTGGTAAGCAACACGTTGACATTTGGATTGGTAAGAAACACATTGACATTTGGATTGGTAAGCAACACATTGACATTTGGATTGGTAAGCAACACGTTGAAATTTGGATTGGTAAGCAGCACATTGACATTTGGATGGGTAAGCAACACGTTGATATTTGGATTGGTATGCAACACATTGACATTTAGAGTGGTAAGCAACACGTTGATATTTTGGTTGGTAAGAAACACATTTACATTTTGATTTGTAATAAACACATAGACATTTGGATTGGTAAGAAACTCATTGACATTTGGATTGGTACGCAACACGTTGATATTTGGATTGGTATGCAACACATTGACATTTAGAGTGGTAAGCAACACGTTGACGTTTGGATTTGTAAGAAACCAGTTGACATTTGGATTGGTAAGCAACACGTTACCGTAAATGCCCCTCCCCCAGCTTAGGTCATATGACACTAGTATCATCCAGTTGGTGGAGCAACACAACATGTCATATGAGGACGGAGCCATTAATGATGAATCAAATTTAATGCTTTCACAACTTGGGCAAGGTTCAAGTTAAGAAGCGTATATACCAAGCGTTGTAATGCGTATAGCACATCAATGGGTCTCAGTTCAGTCCCCATCCACCTACCTCCTTCATGTAAGGCATCCGCTGTAGATGTTAAGTTACCTTTTCTGGTCACTTTTTTTGTTGACAGAATACTACATGAAGAAGAACTGTGTTGATCCCATCTCAGCAGTGACAACAATAAGTCCGAAACAAAGGAAATAACATGGAATAACTTTCATTGTCAGAACAATTACATATCATTTTGTTGTTCAGTCTTTTATTAAGAGATCGGAAATGAAATTTTCAAATATTTCAACAAAACCTATCCGTAGTTGTTTCATCACACAAAACACGGTCTTCCTGAATGATGTTCAGACTCCCTCTTTACCCTGTCCAGCGTACACAATTTGGAAGCGGGTTATATATTTTTCATGGATTCAATTTATTTTGTATGTTTTCATTATCGCCATTTCTTTGGGGGTTTTCCTGTTGGGAGTTATTGACTACCGTATGGAATAGATTGCAAGCCCGCACAACTTCGTGTAATATCACGTAATTTCATCACAAGATACCTTTCACTAGTGTATGAATATTTAACACCAATTTCTGTCATTGATGTATACTTTGCCAAATTCTGATTGTCAATAAGCCAGGTAAGGTAATAGAACACCGGTCCAGGTGTTTAAAATGCTTGCTATGACAAACATGTTTTACCGAGTTCGCCGCCAGGCCGTCCTCTCAAACAGCAAGGTGATATGACAGCTTTTGTCAGGATTTATTTGGAGTCATATTATATTTCTAGGAATGTTGGTTTGTTCTGTACAAACATGCTATTTTTAATAATATAAGAGAATTAATATTGATTTATATTTTTTTTATTAAGATTAACATAATTCTTATATAAAACTACTACATGCACATGTACAATAGTTATAATACAATACTACAGTTATATATTGGTACTGTGTAGATAAAGTGGATTTATTTTTCAACAATTATGAAACAGGTTTTTCCAAATCACTCTTTTTGACCCGGATGTTAGGTGTTAATCTCCGAGGGAAGCAGGAAAAATTAATGGTATTTCGATGTTATCCAGAAACAAACTGGCCAGGTAACAGAAATCATAGGCGAGACTGTTTATAGATGGGAACTTAATAACTATAGGTCATAGCCTGGACACTTGTTCTAATCAATATCATTTAACTTATGCAAGCCGTATGTGAGACATAAGTTAGACTGTGGATATCACTACTTAAATAGACATACCTTGAAACTTTCTACAATTTAATCCAGCTATCCACACTTGCAATAAAAAAAAGTAACATGTATTATACATAATTCATAACATGGGGGTTTTAAATCAATTTTTAGAACGAGGAGCTTCAGACTTCGCATCGTTCAATAGAAATAGATAACCTGATTAGTGCCCATCTGTGCTGGATTTCTCGGGCTGTGAGGTATTGTAAATGGTGTGAAATGATTTGCCGTGTGTTTTCGTCCGAGACATATAATTGAATAAATATATAAATCTTGTTTATTTTTCTATCACTGTCAGATTCTGAAGAGATGTCATTAACACACCAATGAGACAGCATACACCAGGTCGTACAAAGATTGTAGCCTATACAACAATTCTCACGTATGCTATACATCAGATGTGTCGTATGCACACATTTAAATAAATCAGCTATACTTTGGAATGTGGGCTGCGAATAAAGGAGCATAACAGGATTGCAGAAACGCAGACAGAAATATACATGCAAACACACAGAACGAAATATACATACGGACATAAAGACAGAAATATACATACGGACATAAAGACAGAAATATACATACGGACATACAGACAGAAATATACATACAGACATACAGACAGAAATATACAAACGGACATACAGACAGAAATATACAAACGGACATACAGACAGAAATATACATACAGACATACAGACAGAAATATACATACAGACATACAGACAGAAATATACATAAAGACAGAAATACACATACAGACAGAAATATACATACAGACATACAGACAGAAATATACAAACGGACATACAGACAGAAATATACAAACGGACATACAGACAGAAATATACATACAGACGTACAGACATAAATATACATACAGACATACAGACAGAAATATACATATAGACATACAGACACAACTACATATACATACATACAGACAGAAATATACATACAGACATATGCCCAGACATACAGATAGACACACAATAACATGTACGGACATATACATAGACATACATACATACATATTCATATAGACATATGCACAGACGTACAGACAGAAATATACATACATACATATGTCAATATATACAGACATACAGACAGACACACACACACACACACACACACACACACACAAACATAGACAGACATACATTACAGACATATGCCCAGACATACAGACATACAGACACACACACAAGCATAGACAGACATACATTACAGACATATGCCCAGACACACACACACACACACACACACACACACACACAAACATAGACACAAACATAGACAGACAGACATTACAGACATATGCCCAGACATACAGGCAGACATACAAAACATAGAAAGACATATACACAGTTACGTCATGACTTGTAAGACCACAGGAAAGTTATCACTAGTTGGACAATAGGTGTTGAAATCAACTTATAACTAATATTCCAATTCAAAATCTTTAGCTTAATTTATACTGCCAAAATTGCTGCATATTTCATCCAATGATCACTTTATTTAGCATGTTTCGGAGCAGTTACATGTGTTACTTATCCATGTACAGGGAAGTAGTGTGGTTGGATATCAAGTTTCTTTTTCTGAAATTTTAACTTTGATTAGGGAAGTGTTTGCTGAAATTAACATTAGATTGAATATTTCAAACCAGTTAAAAGTATACCTTTATGGACCGTTATGGACTTTTGTGATGGTTAATATGATTTGATATGTGATATCTGAAAAAGTAATCATGACCGAGGCGCAGCCTAGGTTGATATGAATTATCAGGTTCAGATAAAAGATACCTTATGGGGGAGGAGTAGATTAGTCTGCCATTAAAGACGTAGAGTAGAATTGCTCTGGTCATAGTCGTTAAAATGACACAAAACACAGTCGTATGTTATGGTACGTTAATTCCGACGTCTCGATAGAAAAAAAGACACAATTTAATTTTCATTTCCTGTGCATTTAAGTTTTGCATGGCTACCTTCATCCATCACATCTGAAATTACCTGGAATTCCGATTGACTTCACAGTATACCATCCCGTGGTCTGTGATTGTCGTACGCCTGTAACAACAAGATGATGGATTATCCGTAATGTAGGCAACAATTGTTTGGCTCTGTTTTTGCATCAAGTCCTGTTGTTGTCTTTGTATACAAATCTACCACTTTGGCATTATCTTATTTGCCATGGTGTGAAAACGTCTTCAGTATAGAGCAGCATAAATAGCAACTCGTTATCGTGACTCGGCCCAGTAGCCCAGCGGTAGGACGCCGGGCTCGTGACCGAACGGTTGCGGGTTCGAGCCACGGCACAACAGTGTTGTATCCTTGAGCAAGATACTTTACTCCGCTTGTTCCAGTCTACTCAGCTGTAAATGAGTACGTGGTTGGGCAGTGCTAGAATTGTTGAATGCTAGCTGTTAGCGCCGAAATGGCAGCACCAGCTGTATGTTCCCCAGGAGTTGAGAAATGTATTGGCTGGTTGCAAAGGCCCTATAACCACGGATAATAATTTGAGACGACCTACGAACTAGGATGTGATAAAGCGGTATATAAGAACCTCCAATTATTATTATTATTATTATTATCGTTTTTACTCTCGAACTCAACCGATTATCACATATTCGAACGCACCATGACATACAGTTGTGGGATCGCACAACGTTACACGATGTGCGGTGTGCGCACAATGTGTGCACGGTGTGTGAACGGTGTGTGCACGATGGGCGAACGATAAAAAGCTGAACGATCATTGCTTGCGCACATATGTGCGCACGATGGACGGACGTTGTGCGATAACAATCGTGGTTGGTGTAAATTGAGGAATGCCTTAACAATTTATACGGTTTCGTGTTTAAACATATAAACTTGATGTTTACGTATGTTTCTATATTCTAGCAACATCTATAAACTTATCTTTCTGTCTATATATTTTTATATTTAGGAATTGTGTTTTCTGTGTTTCTAAACAAACTTAATCGACACATGTAAAATTACAACACAATCCCGTATACAGGTAAACATAACCACTTTGTACATGTACCTGGACCGTAGTTTTCTCCCCGCCTGGGGCATTTAAGTAACTCGTCGGGTAAGGCCGGGGGTGTGAAAATCCATGTGAAGGGGAGCTATAGGCAAACGAATGCAAATAACAAATACTATTCAATACGGTCAAACGGTATCGCATATTAGCTCTGTGTGTCAGGCCCTGGTCAGGTAAAACTCCGGACACTCATAAAATTGTTATTTACCTGTTCTGTTACCTTGGAGGCAAACCCATTCTTGACAGCCCAACGGTCGCTGTAATACTGTGTAACACGCATTGTGAAATTGTATAATCTTGATTATTGTGATGAGAAATTACAGATATATACACAGTGTACATTATCGCATACAAGCCTGCCGTATTTTTGTCATTCCGTAATTTTGATCTACAAATGATACCAAATCGCACAGTTGTGCGGAGAGAAGCGCACAACGGGGCGAACGATTGCTAAATCGCACAGTTGTGCGCACCATGTGTGGACGATGTGCGGACGGTGTGTGAACGATGTATGCACGGTGTGCGCACGCTATTTTTGGTGCGTTGTGCGGTCCCACAACTGTAGTAAGTTTCGAATGCACATTGGCATAGTAGGATTCGAACGCACCGTTGCATAGGCTTTGGACTATCACAAGTTTGATTTAAATGGCAAACG